CCCGGGCTTGAGAATAAGATTCTTTGTTTGAGCTGTATCCATACATTTTGTGCTGTGTCTTCTCGTGCACAACAGTTAAACAAAAAAATGACACTCGGGGGAATGAAACATGGTTTGACATGGAATAACATTATGCCCAGGGAAAAGGGCTCTGCAATCCAAATGAATAGGAAGAAGAGGATTTCTCGTCACATCTTAAAGATAGATTACAAAATATCACTTGAGTTAGTCATAATTTTGTACTCCTCGACTAAGGTTATTAAGTAACACGTGGTTTGTGTTTCAGCGGTTGAATTGTCTCGAATCACCTATCCACATGAGGTGGTCAAACTTGAAGAAGAATGGGGTGATCACCTGGCCACACAAAAACAATTGGACGCTGCTATCAACCATTACATAGAAGCTGGGTAAAACATATATATATATATATAACCATGTTCTACTTTACATGATAACTAAACAGAGGCTGTGTGCGTGAGTCTCTACTAATGACAGTAATATATACATGCGAGTGGCAAGCTTAGAAATACCAAGCATAGTAAAGTGTTCTTGCCTTTTGAGGACTCTACATTTATATTTTAATGATTTTTAAGTGTTTAAGTGACTACCTTCTGATATAGGCAGCCAATCAGATGTGCATCATTTCTCAAAAATATTTCATCAAAAATCTCTGTAACTAACACCTTTGGCCTTCATTTCATTTTCGAATTTAGCTTCCCTTCTTATCATGTCGTTTCGATTGTTTGATAGTTGTTCAGTCAAAGCCATCGAAGCAGCAATCCAAGCACATCAATGGAACAAAGCAGTGCAGATTGTTGAACTACAGGATGATATTGTAGCTGAGAGGTAAGGCGTGTCATGATACAATGACCCTATAGTGTGTTGTCCAGGCATCTGAGGTCTGGCAATCGATATTGACAGTCACTTAATATGTCGTGTCCTTAAAGATAACTCTGAACTCTCACACTGTCTCTTTCCATCAAAGAAAAGTTGTAGCACCAGTACTGACGAGCCCTTGTTGGCTTCAAGCATGTTAATTGGGATTGGAAATGAGATTAGATATTCATGGTTGATTTGTCTTACAGATATTACCACCAGATAGCACAACACTACGCACAAGTACATGAATACAAGGTATGAACAGCACTGAAAAAATGGTATTGTGTTGTTAGCGTGAAAAAAGATTCCAGTACCTATTAATATTTTTTTAATTCGTCATCTCGTATCTCGATTCTCTTGTATGTCAGCTGGCAGAGAAGTTTTACGTCAAGTCAGGGGATCCGCGAGCAGCGATTGAGATGTACACCAAGGCCAACATGTACGAGGCTGCACACAAGGTACTTAACTCGATAAGAATCGTTCCTTGCTCAAGATGAACTAATTCTGAAAACAGTCCAGCTTTCCTGCACAAAGCAAAACCAAAAGATACTATAATATGCATAAGAACAGAGGTGCTGAGGTTGGTTAAAGAGTTGTGACTTCCATCTCGTAGTTTTAACTAGCTCTCTCTAGGGGCAGATCTAATGGGGGGAGGGTGGGCAGATCTAACGGGGTGAGGGTTCAATCTCAATAGACAACAATGAACCCTCTTACAATAAAAGGAAGAGTCCTTTGAAAATGATTATGAAAATCCTGGATTGAACCCTGCGAAGTTAAATACCAATACTAGTAAGCGTTATTCATGCATCATCTTTTATTATCAGATTGCTGTCCAATGTATGAAACCAGAGGAAGTCGCTGTGCTGTACATATCACAGGCACAGGAGCTTGAAGCACAAGGTCGCTTCAAAGAAGCTGAAAGGTAGATTTATTGGAAATCATCTAGTCTAATAATTATTAAATCACAAATTTGTTTATGTGCTTTTCTTATTGTTATCCCGTGTGTTGTATATCAGATTATACTGCACAGTTGATGAACCTGATCTGGCAATCAACATGTACAAGAAACTAAGACAGGTCAGTGCAGAGCATGACACACAAGCAAGCATTCCTGTAGGCTTGGTGTCTTTTAGCACTTGTTTATTTTCCTATTGTGGGCTTCCTGCAACACTATCTACACAAAGCCCAGATAGAAAGGATAGCAGCTGAAGCGTAGTTGCAGAATGACCAGTGTTAAATGAAAAAATACTTTCTAATTCATTTACTTACAGAAATCGTGTTCTCTTCTTTTTCATCTTGTAGTTTGATCAGATGATCAGGCTTGTAACTATTTATCACAAAGATCTCCTGGTTGATACTCACCTTCACCTCGCTAAGGTAAGCATATAGTGATAGAAAAATCCTTTGATCATGTGCACCATCTCCAAGGCTAGAAGCTCAACATGTTTTCTTGGAGCTGGTTTTTTTTCCCAGATACAATTGAGGTTCTCAGGGGGTAGGGGGTAAATCTCGGGGGGGGGGGGATAAGTTCTTTGGATGATCTCGGGAGTTTCACAGGCAGTTCATCATGGAATCAAGGCTACCCCTTAGTGACCTCCACCAACAATTGCCCTAATTCACTATGACGTCACTGCTTGTTTATGTGGGGGATAGAATCGCTAAATCCAATAGAAAATTCAACTAAATCTGCTCCTAGCGAAACAGTTTAATCTAAAATGGCCTGGTTTTCAGATATAATGTGTGTTAATATGTACTAAAAGATATTCTGAGCGTTTGCTGGCTATTCTACTTCTCTTCGTGGAATGATACGGGATTTAGAACAATTTTCGGTTAGTTTGCGTTGATTTGACCCCGTCCGACGACCATGATCCTTTGCGTTTAAACAATAGATTGTTTTGATGTGACGTCATAGTGAAGTAGGGCAATTCCTTTAATTATTGACTAACTTGAATCTCTTGTAACAGGAATTTGAGAATGAAGGGCAACTGCTTAAAGCTGAGCATCACTACCTTGAATCAAAAGACTGGAAGGCTGCAGTGAATATGTACCGGGCAAACGACATGTGGGAAGAGGCTTATRGAGTAAGTACTCTTCATGTCACATTCATTCACATCATCATAATAAAAGAAAAGATGTCTCAAGCATTTTGTTTGGTCATTTTTACACAGACTGCGAAACAAAATGGCGGGCCAAATGCAGCAAAGCAAGTTGCATACCTGTGGGCTAAAGGACTTGGTATGTATATAGATGTAACAACAAAATATTGTATCTTGTGTATCTTATTTAACCATCATCTTGTTGTCAGGTGGTGATTCTGCTGTTAAACTACTGACCAAGTTTGGGTTATTAGACGCAGCCATTGACTATGCAGCAGAAAACTGGTAACATTTAACTTTGATTAGAACTATTCTTTGAGGATGTAGTATACCAGCCTCAAAACTACAGGGCTGTTCTAAGTCAGGGCAGGGCTAGCCCACAGATCAAACCCTGAAACAACCTCTTACCTCTGGGCTTATCAAAGTCTAAAGCAGGGCATGGCTAACTCACAGATTAAACCCTGAAACAACCTCAGGGCATAGCTAACTCACAGATCGAGTTGGAATTAAGCATGTATTACAAAGTCCTGATAATCTTTCCTTGTTAATGGTATATATTCTTTGCAGCGCATTTGATTTCGCATTTGACCTGGCTCGTACATCAATGAAGCACAAACTACCTGATATTCACCTGAAGTACGCCATGTACCTGGAAGATGAAGGCAAGTACAGCGAGGCAGAGTCACAGTTTGTCAAGGCAGGAAAAGCTAAAGAAGCGGTGCTCATGTAAGTAATACAATCTAACCATAATTATGATCTTTTAGACACTGCATTCTTGCTGGGAATATAACAGTTTCAGAGGACTGACAAGTGGCCTCCGTGCACACTTAAACATTTTCCATATCTCTAAAGCAAAGACATTAGGGCCCGGTTGTACGAAGCCTGGATAACGCTATCCGGCGGATAAATCCTTATCCAATGGATAAGGTGATGCTGTTATCCAATAAATTTATCCACTGGATAAGATTTATCCGTTGGATAGAACTATCCACCCTTCGTACAACCGGGTCCAGGTGTACAACTGTAGTATAAAATTGTATTTGTGTTGTTAGGTATGTCCATAACCATGACTGGGACAGTGCACAACGAGTTGCAGAAGAACATGATCCTGACAGTGTAGCTGACGTGATGGTAGGACAGGTAAGAATGGATCACCTTAAACTCTTTTTGTCCATTTTATAATTCCTTTATAACTTACCACACATTTTGGAGAATTCATTGAAGTAGTTGACAAAACAAGTTAATCGTATTCTTTGTTCTTCATACAGGCACGTGTGGCATTCGAACGCAAGGAGTACCAAAAGACAGAGACGTTCTTACTGAGGGCCCAACGTCCTGAACTCGCTGCTAAATATTACAAGGTACATGATTCTCGATCTTGTTGACTGTTGAAGATTCAGATGTCGGCGTTTTTTCATTGTTGTCCCAAAAGACGTTATTTGTAATGTGTTTTGTTGTTCCTGTTGTTGTTGCTGCTGTTGTTGTCAATGCTGATCTTGGCTGTTGTTGCTGCTGTTGTTGTCAATGCTGATCTTGGCTGTTGTTGCTGCTGT